GAGGCGCAGGGCACCGGGACACGCCGTGGCGGCGGGGAGGCTTGAATGTGTCCCAAGACTTCGCTTGCTGCTTGAGACAGAGTTTTCAGCGGGGTGCGCTGCACGTACCGCCTGTGAAACGGGAGCTGCTTATCTCCATACCCACGGATAGACGGAGGGAATTCACTCAGAGCAATGCTTTTTAAAATATGTCCTGGCCTGTCTCAACTTCATTGGTTAGCGAAAGGTGCTGCCACTAATTCACTGTATTGTGCTTACAGTTGTTACAGTGTGGCATACAAAATCATGTCCTCTCCTGATTGATATATGGTACCTAAAATTGACACCAAGGAAGAGGCAAATGCTGTGCTTGGCAAGGCCCTATCCTGCAGTGCAAACTGCGTGGACGGATGAAAAGCCAGCCATGCTTCTTGTGGATGGAGGGGTCACCCTGTGGGACTCCAATTACATACTTCATCTCGTGGGTAAAGTCAGTGGTAGGTGCTGAGCATCTCTGGCTCCGTAGGATCAGTCTGTGTATTTAACTGCCTGAATAGGACTTTTATGTAACATACCTGGTTTTTGCATGTTTGGGTTGAAATTTCTGTTCTCTTTGATTATTGTTAACCCAGTCAATAATGCTGTAAAAGCAAAACAAAGAGGGAGGAGGAAAGGATCAGGGAAGTGTTCTCAAACACACTGCTGTGTGCAGGCACATGTTTGATCTGCGTCTTTATTTCTAGGATGTTTTAATGCATCCCTTGACTTAGCTTGCTAGTCTGTATGGCTTTAAAAAGCACACTAAGACACCAATCTGAAGCCCTGAAGGGTATGACTCAACGACATAACAATAAATTGTAGTATCTCCTGCTAAGTAATTACACTGTATCATGTCACAACAAGGTATTGTTGAAATACTATCATGTAGCTCATAAAGTGTCATTTTTTCATTATAAGCCTGTAAAATAAACAGAATTGCTGTGTTAGAACATACAGACGGACACATAACATTTCATTAGGGCTGTGAAAAGGAGCTGCTGTAGTTTCTTGCATGAACATGCTCAAGATAAAGTAGTTATGTCCCAGTTTCGCATTCTTTTATTCTGGGAACTAGCAGAGGTTACACAGCTAACTAGAACCCTTAGGTCAGAGGCAGAGCTGTTTTGATGTCAAATCATGAGAAATGCCAAAATACTTAGTAGTAGCTAGCATGCTGCTCCTGGTAAAGTCACTGGGTTTTCCTGCTAACTATTATCTAGTTCTGGCCTCAGGTGAACCTGTTTTAATCCGGTGTAATTTTACTGTCTTCTTATGAAGTCACTTTGGATTTGTATTGGCAAACGAGAGGAGAGGGAGTATTGTGAATGATGCTTTTGCGGTGCCAAGCAAGATTGTACACCTGTCAGCATTTTGTTGCCTTCCTGTGTTTGGTTTTCATACTTTAACAATTCAAAAATTTGAAGAGATGTTCAAATTCTGAAGGGTGCAGAATCTCATTGATTTTAATGGGAATTGAAAAACCAGGAGGGAGAAGCTGGGAACACAGAGAGTCCTTGCCATCTGGTTAGCAGACCCAGCAGTTTTAACCGGGTCTGGAAGTGTTTCTAGATCAAAGGACTGGCTGATGGCAGCCCTTAACATCTTCCAGCACAACACCTCCTCCATCCCTGCTCTGCCCATCATCCCTGCAGCATTTCAAATGTTGATGTGCTGAATGACTTCTCTCTCAAAACAGAAGGAAGAGAAGTGGTATGCAAGTCCTTGGTATTGAAAGAATGAAGAATATTGCTTGGGTGTCCTTTGGTTTGTAGCACATGGCATGAGCCCTTGCCATGGGATTGGAGCATTTGACATGACAGGGCCTTGAGGATCCATACTCCCAAGCGTTAGGGGGAGTGTTGGTACATACAGATTTCTGGTATAAGCAGACCGGAGGTGGTACGTAGACTGGGTGGAGGGGAAGGTATGGATCTTTGGTGTGAACAAATCGGTATTAAAATGTTAAATGAAAAGGTATAATATATTCACATCTGTTAAAGGACCAAATCCAGCCACGGTGAAATGAACCCTTGCTACAATCAGCTAAATTACCACTTTGATGAATGCAACTTAAATTGTACACAAATTTATGGCTTTTAAAGGTAAAAGCCATATTCTGCTTCGCAAAAATCAGTTGAAAATAAAAGAAGTAGTTAAGAATTTTGTGTACTTTTTCAGTCCTTAATTCAACTTCAGGTTATGGGGTGAAGTTGGAGTGGTTTGCTGGTCCCAAGCAATGCAAGTGTCAAGCTGGCATTTCTTCCAAGTTGCTCTGTGTTACAAAATGTACTATATAGTCAAAGAGTGGTATTTATGCAGGGAAAATGTCCACTGGAATCAGTGGACTTTTCCCTTAGTCCACAGATACAGGGTAAGGCCTAGACATGTTTGAGGTGTCTGGATATCTGTGTATAAACTTACTGTGTTTTGCAGAGTTTTAGGTCAGGTTGTCACCTCGTACATCTGGTACTCACTGAACTGCTTCTGGAGTGAATGAGAGAGAGAGGTCATCACATAGCCAGCAATATTAATTATTTTTGTTAAACACAGTTCACATCTTGGAAGAACCATAAATTTCACACTTAAAATGGTATTTATTTATTGCCCCCCAAATGTTTAATCTCAGCAGTACAGTGACAATACAGGCCAGTGTTGTAATTCCAAGTTTTTAGAAATGTGGAAGTTGAGACAGTAGGAGTTTAAATAGGACTTTAAATGATTTAGAAGCTTAGGTATGTCTATGCTGCAGTCACAGACATACCTGAGCTGGTTTTAAACTAGTCAGCTGGGGAGCTGGTAGCAATCCAGCTGTGGCAGCGTGGAACTCGCAGCTGGCTGGAAAACATGCCCAAAAAGTTGGGTAAATACTTGAGTGGTTAGGCTGGCCTGAACTCAATGACTAGACTACTACTGGTGCCCAAGCTAGCTAATTTAAAGCTTGCCCAGCTATGTTTGCACTGTATTGCAGTCACATCAGTTGTGAGTGT